GAGAAGTGTCCTGTACACGGTTGTGGGACGTATATAGGTTAATAGGCTGTAATTCAAATAAGTATTCTTTGTCAAATCATAGGAAATACCTATTTTATTGCGTTATTGCTTGCATTATACTATTACTACTGGTATCTATCATAAAAATGTCATTTATATTTGTATTTTTAAAAAATCTAACAATGTACTTTTTGGTCCTTAATATCGATAAGATAGCATTTCTTTATTTTTATTAACGATAGATATAGGGATTTTCTTTACAGTAAAAGTCGACTAAAAGAAATTCAAGCAGTCCACAAAGATCTCAGATTGATGGCATCTGCATTGCATCTTCCTAAGTAATTTGTAAGATTTGTGAGAAAGTGCTGCAGGCGGGTATTGAATTCAGTTTGCTCGCTCACTGTGAAATTTAAGGCTAGCGCTCAACCCCTAAGCTACGACAGAGTTCAATATAATAAAATATGCACAAGTATAAAATACACCAAATACGAGTATTTTACATACTTCTATCAAATTTAACATCCAAATACAACATTGTAATTTAAATTCACATGAAAGTAAACTAATTTACGTAACCGAATGTGAGAAACTAATCGATACGCCGCGCCGCCGGGAAAACTCGCGTCGTAGATCTATCTATAAGCGGTAGTTTCACAGGGTAGTCTGTAAATAGTAAAGTGGTAGAGCCACGCTACAGCTGTATTAGTTGTAGCTCGACCGATGTAGGACCACGTTCTTACAGAATACCAGCGTAAAATAGCAGCTTAAGGCTGCTGTGTTCCGTATGGCGAGTGTAGAGAGAGATCCGGTGACCCTTTTTACTTTAAACGAGGCATTCCATCTTAGTTCTCATAGGTAATAACGCATTTGTATTTTGATTTTTAATCGAGGATTAATGTAGATGTCTATGGTCACAGTAACCACTTACCATCAAGTAGACTGTCAAATTTGTGCCCGTTTGTCACCCTTACTATATAAAAAATAAGTAATTAAATGGTTCAATGTTGCAAGTTTAAATATTGCCTACTTACAAATCTTAATCGTCAAGCTGAACACAAAAGTGTCCTTTCAAATAATAGCCGCCGCATATAGTAAACTCTCAACACATACTTTGCTTTTCGGTATGTTAGGGACTTTGAGAATATTTAGCGAGAGTGTAAATTCCGTTCCGCCGGTGATGGTTCATTGATTAATAGCTATATAAGTTAATAGTATGTCATATAAAGCATTTAAACATCCTCTCATGGGAGAGGCCTCTATCCAGTAATGAAATCGTACATAGGTGTCATAATTTCTCATACAGTGTATAAAAATTGTCTGAGAAATTAGAAATTTTCCGAGGATATTTGTGAAGTTTGCCAATATGCATTGTTTACCACGGTATATTCAAAGAAATTACACGGTTGTTTACTCTTCAATTAACATAGTTGTCATTTCAGCAAACACTTGAACAACACATGTTTTTGACAGCCCTAGAGTACAGCGTCGATAACCGATACATAGTTAGGAACATAAAATATAAATGCAAAAGCCATATTGATTGCATCCGGAGTTTTGTAGTGACGTTCGTTTAGAAGGAATACAAAACATATCTCACAGACATTTGCATTGTAATGCAATTTTTCAATTTCTTTTTACTTTCTCATATTGATATTTTATTTGCCACGTGGCGTGGCGACTTGATATTTTAAACGTTACGCACACTAAGATTTCGTGCTGTATCGTGGATATTTTTTTTTTTAAATTTTCCACCAAGGAGTATACCGTCCTTGACGGGAATTTATTGACATTTTTACACAATAGGTTACATTAAATGGCTTACACTATATTTTGCAAGCTGTTATTCTCTAAGACAAGATAACTAACATCAATGCGATTTGATACATTGATTAGGTATCGGTCCATTTAATATTATCACTAAGTATTATAAAATTATTTTTCACTGAATGAAATTATTAATAACAATATAAATTTGTATAATTATTCCCAGTAGCATTACATATTTTAGAAAATTAGAAAGAGTACCGAATTAACAACAAAAAAAAAACGAATAGAAAAAATTACAGAATTAATATAAATATAATACAGGGTATTCTTATGTCTACTGCTTATAATTTAGTCCTTAGCTTATAATTTATTAACATTCATTAAATTTGTGCCTTATTATAAATAATATAATATGAGTCATTAAGGACGCGTTTGCAAATCAACCAAAATTAGGGTGTTTTTCGGTAGATTTTGTGACAAAACTAAACCAAATCAAATATAAGTAAAAACTACCATGTATAGATTGGTTCTTCATCTGCAAATGTCTGTAACTCTTTTGTTGAAAATAGTAGTTTTTTATATTGTAAAAACGAACTTTCGTTGCCATTTTCTACAAAATTAACGATACCGGCTTGTGTTTCGGTACATGTTTTGGTCTATTATCAACATATTTAAAAAATTTAAAAAATACTATAAGATGACAGACATATTCAATTAAAAAACCCTGGGTTTATTTTTTAACAAAATGTCACAAATAGTCGTAAAAAAAATAAAAACTGATGCACATTTTTTCACATATTTTGGTAATACGGATGAATCATAATGTATTGCAATAAGGGCTATTTTATTGTTGGTGCCTGCTTTGATTTATTGTACAAAGATTTCGATGAAACCACAGTCCGCGCTCGGCCGCCGTCGTGAGTGGACACTGTATCGCCTGTTTGCAGCGGCTCATTCTGAAAAGATCGCTGTACATACACAAAATATTAGAAAAAAACAAATTGGAAACATAAGTACTTGACAAGTGATAAAATTATTATTTTTATACTCACAGTTTTTATTTAGCTAAAAATAAGTAGGATATATAAACTTACCTACTACTGCAACTCGTGGACGAGCGGAACTAGGTGTGCCGAGTTTGGGCTCGTTTTGTTGGTTATGATGAGACCTTACCTCTGGACTTGATGGCATGACCTGAAGGTGTACTTTCGTGACCGCTATTTGAACTTCTTGCAGAGTAAAACTAGGGGTGACGAATTTGGGCTCCGTTTTGTTAGTTATGACGAGTCTATACCTCTGGACTTGATGGAGTGACCTGAAGGTCTAAATCGGTGATTGCAACTGGAACTCCTAGACTGGTAGAACTAGGTGTGCCGAGTTTGGGTTCGTTTTGTTAGTTACGATGAGACCTTACCACCGGATTTGATAGAGTGACCTGAAGGGGTAATTCAGTAACTACTGCTGGAATTTCTGAACGAGTAGAACTAGGTGTGCCGAATTTGGGCTTCGTTTTGTTAGTTATGACGAGTCCATACCTCCGGACTTGATGGAGTGACCTGAAGGTGTAGTTCAGTGATTACAAGTGGAACTCCTAGACTTGTAGAACTAGGTGTGCCGAGTTTGGGTTCGTTTTGTTAGTTACGATGAGACCTTACCACCGGACTTGATTGAGTGACCTGAAGGTGTAATCAGGTGGTTACAAATGGAACTCCTAGACTAGTAGAACTAGGTGTGACGAGTTTGGTTTCGTTTTGTTAGTTACGATAAGACCTTACCACCGGACTTGATGGAGTGAAATTCGGCACACCTAGTTCTACTGGTTCAGAAATTCCAGCAGTAGTTACTGAATTACCCCTTCAGGTCACTCCATCAAGTCTGGTGGTAAGGTCTCATCATAACTAACAAAACGAACCCAAACTCGGCACACCTAGTCCTACAAGTCTAGAAGTTCCACTTGTAATCACCGAACTATACCTTCAGGTCACTCCATCATGTCCGGTGGTAAGGTCTCATCATAACCTACAAAACGAACCCAAACTCGGCACACCTAGTTCCACCAGTCTAGGAGTTCCAGTTGCAATCACCGATTTACACCTTCAGGTCACTCCATCAAGTCCGGAGGTATGGACTCGTCATAACTAACAAAACGGAGCCCAAATTCGGCACACCTAGTTCTACTCGTTCAGAAATTCCAGCAGTAGTTACTGAATTACCCCTTCAGGTCACTCCATCAAGTCTGGTGGTAAGGTCTCATCATAACTAACAAAACGAACCCAAACTCGGCACACCTAGTTCTACTAGTCTAGGAGTTCCACTTGTAATCACCGAATTACACCTTCAGGTCACTCCATCAAGTCCGGTGGTAAGGTCTCATTATAAAACAAAACGAACCCAAACTCGGCACACCTAGTTCCACTAGTCTAGGAGTTCCTGTTGTAATCACCAAATTACACCTTCAGGTCACTCCATCAAGTCCGCAGGTAGGTAAGGTCTTATTATAACTGACAAAACCAGTTCAAAGTCCAGAGCTAACATCTCACTACCAGTAGAGGGCTTCCAGTGCCAAGCAGTCTTTGGAGCAGGTATTCATATTTCGTATCGAAGTATATTTCTGAGGTAGGTATAAGAAATGAAAAACAAATTCAATCTTTCAAATTATCAAAATAATTTCATTTGACTACGATTCCCACAGCCAACCGTGCGTACACTAGTGTGTGTGTGACTTTTGTCAATGTAGTAGTGCGATTCTATACCTATCCATTTTGTAAACGCGTCCTTAAGTTGTACAGATATGATTAGCAAACGAGCATAGGTAAATGAAAGAGATTTACTTATGTTATATATACAAGAAAGGTGAGAAAATAAGATTTAATTTAAGTAAAATACAAGGTATTCCTATATCTATTGCTTAGGAGTTAGACTATAGCTTATGATTTATTAACAATGATTAAAGCTAGTGTCTTATAACCAAAATAATGTATGCAACGATTCGTGCGAACGTGATTAGCATATAAAAGAGAATTATAGAGAAGTTGTACATAGCCTTATACAGTTTTTATTATTATTATTATTATTATTATTACCAGAGTAATCTTAGATTTACATATTGTATTCTTAAGAACAAAGATAAAGTTTGAAAGGAGGAGTGATAATTATATATGTTAACTTAAATTATAAAAGTTATTAGAAAGTTTATACACAATTTATATCCTATGTATATTAGTTTAAATAATTTACAATTTATTGAATCCTTTAAGCTTATCTATGATGTAATTAATAAATGTAACGAAGGATTCAATAGCACTTTGTTTATTTGAAAGTTCCGTTACACAGTACGGTGATATACGTAGATTGCTACAAAGCATCTCGTGTCTTAGTCTATTGTACTCAAATCTAGGACACTCCCTCAACAAATGAGTTAACGTTTGAGTAGTGGTATTGTCACAGGGGCAGAATGGATCGGCAGCGATTTTGAATCTATGCAGATATTCCTTGTGGTAGCCATGACCTGTTAAAGCCTGCGTTAATTGAAATGATACTTTGGTTGCTTTCCATAGTGCACAAATGTCCGTCAGTTTTGGGAGTAATTCTTTTGTGCGCGCTCCTTGTTCCGCGCTTTCATATCTTGTCTGCCAAGTTCTCCAAGTTTTTTCCCTCATAGTCCTTTTTACAAAGCTCATAGGGAACTTCGCGTAGTCAGGGGTTTTGTGTTGTGTGGCAGCGCCTTTGGCTGTCTCATCAGCAATTTCGTTACCTGCGTCGCCCGCATGGCCCTTAGCCCATGAGAATATGAAATTAAGATCCACTTGAGCAGCTGTATATATTGTGTCATGAGTCTTTGCCACACTTTTTGGGGTGGGTGTTAGATCTCTTTTGGAGTGCTCTCAGTGCCGCCTGAGAGTCACTCAAGATCTGTATAACCTCCTTGCGGCCCATGTGCATCCTTGTGCCCCTTTGGTGTCTTTCGTCTCCTTGCTTCAATCTCCGGTCCAAAGTCCACTCGCAAGCCTCTTTAATCGCCAAGAGTTCCGCTTGGAACACAGAGCAGCTAGTATGTAGTTTCAGCCTCTTTTTTGTATATAACTTTTGAACCTTCGAAACAGACGAAAGCCGCTCCCACACCGCCATTCTCGAGCTTGCTTCCATCTGTATAGATTCGAATAGGCGCTGTTTCCTGTTCTAGGTTTTCCGAATTCAGGTCTGCACACTCAATACTTATTCTTTTTGACGGATGTAATAACTCATGCACAGGTGTGGGCCTCTCATATTGTATATCCCTTGGTATTAAGTTGGTTGCCCCTTTCAGTCGAACTGTCTCAACTTCATGTACCTCCAGGACCCTGAGGTCCAAGGGCACAAATTGAGCCAGAGCGACCGCTGCCACCGTTGAGACTGTCCTAAAGGCCCTAATTGCCTTTATTGCAAATCCCCCTTTGGGCCGACTCCAAGAGCTTCCTTACATATCGTTTTTTCGCCGCTTGACCCCAGATACCTGCTGCGTATGTAATTGTAGGCTCAATGACCTGTCGATAGATGGTTTGCACGTTATCGGGATGGGCTCCCCAGGTTGGTCGGGTGTAAATGCATAGTTTGTTGAAAATTCGCATAGCCTTCCCAACAACGTACTTAACATGATCAGCGAACAGAAGCTTTCGGTCAATGATCATGCCTAAGAACTTAATACTCCTTTGAAACGCTAAAGTGTGTCTCCCCATTATAAGGTGTGCTTCTTCAGCCTTACGCGTGAATGCAATGGCTTGCGTCTTAGTGGGTCCAAATGTCAATTTGACACTTTGCCCCCATTCCAATATGATTTCCAGAGCGCGATTGGTATTTGTTTGTAGGGTATTTACATCCTTTGCGGAGACGATAAGTAAAACATCATCCGCAAAGGCTTGCAAATGACATCCACTCGGAAGTTCAGCCTCAAGCAACTCGTCCAGTATCACGTTCCATAAAATGGGTCCACACGCTGAACCTTGTATGCAGCCCTTGGTGTTGTTCTTAGTAACTCGCGCTCCTGCGTATTCTAATGTAAGTGTGCGGTTCGTCGTATAGCTCTCTATTAAGTGGAAGATGTTCTTGGGGCATCTTATAGCACGTAGTCTCTCGAATAGTGCGGGCCACCACGCGTTGTCAAATGCGGAGCGGATGTCTAAAGAAACGCCCAGCACCTGTTTGCCATTCTTCTTAGCCGCTTTTACGATACTGAGTGCCGTATCTATAGCTGTAATCGTGCTGGTTTGTTCCTTGAAGCCAAACTGTCGCCCGTTGAGTAGTCCCGCTTTGGTTGCGCAATATATGAGACGCTTAATGTATAATTTTTCGAGCAATTTTCCAAAGACTGGCAAGAGTCCTATAGGGCGGAAGGAGCTTAATTCGCTATAATCAGTCTTGCTTGGCTTTGGTATGATTTTAACTTCGGCTCTCTTCCACTGCTGAGGAAAGTGATGGAGCTCTAGACACCTGTTCATGATTCCCGTTATAAGTTCTGGGTAATTAATAGTAAATTGTAGGCAGATGTCAGATGTCAGACCATCAATGCCGGGTGCCTTCTTAGGATTCATCCATTTGAGATGTTCCAAAACCTCCTCGACAGCGAATGGGGGTTCATCTACTCCATCTGGCTCATTCCCGATTCTGGATCTAAGAAACTGGTGTTGGTGCGTGTCATTATCTGGTGTATCATCACCGTAAAAGTGATCCAGGAGTGCTTGGGCCGTCTCCGTTTCGCTGCTGGTGTAATTGTCACCAATTTTTATGGTGGCTGGTGGCCGCTTGGGTGCAGTGTCCTTCAGAAGTCTATTCGTGAGAGTCCAAACGTTTTCTTTTGTTTGTAGTTCGCAGAACTCTCTAAAACTCCTGGAAGACTCCGCCCTCAGTTCCTCCGCATATATTGCCTTTTTATTATTTAATTCCTCTGCTAGTTGGTCTAGAGGCAGATTCCGACGTCTCATTCGGTTTAGTCTGTGGTGTAACTGGATGACTTCTTTTTTGAGGTCTGTCAGTTTTTCCGTCCACCATAACGGGCGATGCTTCGTCAGGGATCGGCCTTTCTTTGTCGGCATAGATTCTTCACACGCTTTATGAATGATCCCGCAGATGTCATCAATCAATTTCTCCAAGCCAGCTGTGTTCAGCGATCCGATGTCTCTCTCCAATATATCTGTATTGGTCATAAGCGTGTGGAGTGCATCCTTGAATATTCCCCAATTGGCCTTGTTGCTGTTGTACTTAAACGTGGAGTTAGTTATCGATGAGGAGTTTAAGGAAGAATTCTCAGTCGCAATCTCGTATTCCACCGCATTATGCTGCGATGAAGGGCAGGCGTTGAGGTTGACCTTCCACCCGACTACACGGTCAAATATGTGTCCATGGGCCAATGTGAGGTCTATTATAGAAGCCCGATCCCTGCCGTGTGTGACGGTTTCAAAGGTGGGTGAGGTGCCGACATTGCAAACGAAGAGATCATTTGCATGTGCCAGCTCCACTACCGCACATCCTCTAGGGTTATTGGTCTTACTGCCCCATAGATGGTGCCATCCATTAAAGTCACCGCCAATGATGGTATTTGGGCATCGAGAGATCTTGAGAAAATTATCTATATGCTCTAATGTGTTATTTTCGTCTGAATTCGGTTCGATATATGCGGAGGCTATGAGTATTTTATGACCGCCACTTGTGAATTGAATAACGCAAAGATTTGAGTTAGAGTATTGTGACATACCAATCACCTGACCGCAGCCTGGTTTAGTGAGTATACACGCCTTAACTCTACCTTTTCCACCAAATTGATGTATGTTGAGTCCCTGAGTTGGTCGCACCTCATTTCCTGAGCCAACATATGGCTCCGACAGCAATGCAATTTGATAGCCACCTGCCATGAAAGAAAGAATAAATTCATGTAAACTCTTTTTTGAACGATCAATGTTACACTGTATAATTTTTATATTTTTATTAATTAAATCCATAATCAATTCTGTTAATTATTCTTTCTCTCATGGCTCTCAGTTTTGGACATTCCAGTGACATGGCAGAGTGGCGGACATCCGCTTTGGTACCAAATTTATCATTATGAGATGCACAATTAGCTCATATGGCAGTACCTTGTTTGCCCTTATCAGGACATTTTTCGACTGTGTGCTCCTTACTGGAACAGTGCGAGCATTGACTAGTTGCGGCTGTGCAGTACTTTTTAATGTGCCCAAACTGCAGACACCTGTGGCACTGCAGAAAGGGTGAGAATTCGCTGATGTGTAGTCGCTGGTAGTCAACACTGATTTTGCCCTTTTCAATGAATTTACGAAAGAGTTTGGGTGCCACAAGAAACACTGCGTTGTATAGCCCCGGGTTTTTGTTGCTACGCCTAAATCGGAGGCGCATGTCATCGTTTTTTTTTTTTTTTTTTTTTTTATAGGATAGGGTGACAAACGAGCACACAGTCCACCTGATGGTAAGTGGTTGCTGCGGCCCATAGACATCTACATCTATCCTCGATTACGAATCAAAATGCAGATGCGTTGTCACCCGTGAGGACTAAGATGGAATGCCTCGTTTCCAGTAAAAAGGGTCTCCGGTTCTCTACACTCACCATACGAAATACAGGAGCATTAAGCTACTATTTCACGCTGGTATTCTGTGAGAGCGTGGTCCTTCCCCGGTCGAGCCGACCCATTCGTGCCACAACTATACTACTAATATAACTGCAGCATGGCTCTACCACGTATAATCTACCAATATAATCGTCCTCAATAAAAGCCTCTTTCAACTCTGGGTTCTGCCCCCCTGACAATACCAGCTATCTCTTCAGCTGGTATATCTTTGGATATACCCTTTAGTATAATCATTGGCCGCAGTCCCTTAGCCGGCTCAACGCTTACGTGCTCAGACGATTTTAGCTTTTGTAGGGTGTCGTTACGTTGTTCGGTTGTGTCAAATTCCACTCTAAGTTTGTGATTTGACACTGCCTGAACCCTAGCTGGTGCATAATTCGCTGTGCGGTACGATATGCTCTTCTTAAACGCCTCGATTGCTTCCTGTCGTGATTTGGGGGTTACCTTTGGGGTCACCACGATGGCCGGCTTGTTGTTAGATGTACCGCGGGCTGGTGGCATAGTGGTCACGCTGGGAAGAGAGCCAGGCCCACTGCTGGTCGCAGCGGCCTGGGCGTATGAGGCAGGCCGTGCCTGCTGTTGAAGCTGCGTGGTTATTTGGCCCTTTAGTTTGGCCATCTCGCTCCTGACACAGGCGACGATGTCAGCCTTCAAGTCGCTGTTCATGTTACTCTGGGGGGGGGGGTTATTGGCGGGGGCAAGCACTGTAGACATGCTTGTCAGTTTATGCCCACACCTTCTGATCTCCTCGGCAGCTAGGTTGATGAGTCTCTTCTTTGCGGCGGTGACTGACTTGCCGTCAGAGACCGCTTTAGTAATGCAGTCAGAAAGTTTTTGTATCGTCGTGACAAAAGTCTCGATGTTGGTTATTTCCTCGACATAGGCCGGTAGGAGGGAGGGAGTGGTTTCACTAGTATGATCCTTAGAAGTAGTAGTGGCCATCTTGCTAATTAATTAGTCCAAGTTTAAAAAAAAATAAAAAAATAAAAAAAAATGTTTATATCGTCATCGGAAGGGGGGGGGGGGGGGTTTCCACTACGGAATATCACTGCACTGATAGTACTATCATGTAATAATGTTTAAGAGTCTCAAAGTTCACACACACGGTAATAGTCAATTTTTACACATATGAAACTAACAACCTAGTCAAGAATTACGTAATTCTATCCAATATCTATCGGAACGAAGGTCGCGATGATAAAAAAGAGTCAACAGCCGTGACGATCTCCGCGGTAAAAAAAACCACTCGAGATCCTTCGATTTTTGCAACACTACACTGATAACCTTGGTGAGTACCAAGAGTTTTAACACAAATGTTTTTTTTTTCCCTTCACACTGTGTTCACTAAACCACCAAAGAATACTGTCGTGATGTATTGATTAGTTATATTTCATTGCGAATATTTCTGATGCAACGCGTGCGGCCCCACCGAACGGCCGTGAGCGACCCGTTGGTCATTGGTTAAGTTAATTACATAGATGGTCATGCGCGGACGTGGAGTTAGATTTGCGAGGGCCTACAACTCGACCGCCTGAATGTAGCACGGTGACGTTCAAGTAGTGACTAAACACAGCACGGAGGCACGCGAAGCGGGCTTGATGCGTGTTATCGTAGGTCAGCGTCAAAGTTCGTTACAAATAAATTTGAAATGTTTTCGCTTATATCTTACAATTCTCTTTGTATTTCACAATTCCGATTTCACCATTGGAAAGAGCACTTTTTAACGAAAATAATGATTATAAACACATGCTATAGCAACTAAAATTTACTGCACTTTAGATTTAAAATTCACGGAGCGAAAATAAACACGTCTTATACTCTCGGGTATCGGCCCACGTCTTCGTATCGTGGATATTACATATTTAAATTGCACAAGGACAAACATCCAGACCCAGAACAATCACTTGTAGGCCATAGGAATACTTGTTCCGTGCGGGATTCGAACCTGCGCCACGGAGATTCGAACCTGCGCCATCAACATAACTTTGAAATACCGGTAAATCTTGAAAGATTTCATTAATCCTTCCAGCTCGAGTTACAAAACCGTTTTCATTGCCTAGAAGACTGCAATGCAGTGGACGATATGAATGATAAGCTCGTGGAAATTGTCCACGCGGTCGGAGCTAAGTTCTGTAAGACCCGCCGCAGAACACAAAAACTCTCCGATTACATTCGTAATCTCCTGGCTGTTCGTAATGTGACGGAAAATGAAGCTGCAGTCTTCGACAGATTTGACAGCACAGGCAACTGAACAGGCAGATCTCCAAATGCATGCGGCGCGACTTACGCAACTTTAATACTGCTCGCATTGAAGAAGCGATCGAGTGGAACCAAGGCTCCAAAGTCTTTGCCACAGATCTGTCTACCAGAAAGAGCCAACTGTCACAGCTGAAGACCGAATGTGGAAGGAAGCATTGTTTCCGGGACACCTTGATTTTGAGTGAGATTGAGAGGTTCTACGGACCGCTGTACACATCATCGTTGGAGCCACATGCAAGTGTAGTATTCCGATGATATCCCGGACGTCATCGGTCTGAGCGAGAATAGAATCCCTCTCCAGCACTTTAAAAAAGGGCCAGGCCCCAACGAGGATGGAATTGCAGCGGAGCTTCTAAAAGCGTGTGGAAAACCGGTATTTAAAGTCCGGCAGAAGTTTTTTTTTTAATTCCGTCATCCATGGTGGAACTACTTCGTAGACGTGGAGCAGAAGTGCGGTGGTCTTGTTCTTCAAAAAAGGAAACAACGCTCTCTTGAAAGTACTTCAGACACATCTTCTCGTCAGTTATACCTCAAAACCTGAAAACGAGATTGTGCAACCAGTGCGTGTTGCCAGTGATGACTTTGGCGTTATGACCAGGGCGACCCCCACTAGATGGAGTGACGACCTGGTAAGACATCCAAGAAGTCGATGGATGCAGGTGGCTCAGGACAATGCTTTGTGGCATGTCTTGTAGGAGGCCTATGTTCAGCTGTCGACTTTTGAAGGGCTGTAATGATAATGATGATGATGAAGTGGCGTTTTTGAAAAATAAATTATCTATAATGGTGAATTACTCATATAGTTACTAAATAAAGTAGAATTCAAATGACGGCCGTGCTTGTTTCCTTCATTTTTTTTTTTTTTGATAAAATTGAATGCGAATAAACTACAAATCGAAAACTGAAAACATCTATTAAAAAGTATCATTAAAGAATTAGAAGTTCAATTTCTAATTCTTTGCCTAACATACATTGTATATTTTGTTGCACCAGGTTAATACAGTTTTTATTATTGCTATTTTGTGAAATTACTATTTTATTACCAATTTTGTGAGTAAATTACCTGCGCGGGTGGCGGCGTCGCTGGACATCAAAGGCGTTTCACAACTGTTTGCTCTTTGCTACTGTGCTTGTGCCCAGCTGTGGGGCGTATATTATTAGGCTGTAAATTTAAATATAACGTAATTATAGATTAATTTATACTAGAAATTTAAAGTTTTAGTAGATGTTAATCTAAAATTAACTCACATATTATAATGATGTCTTATATTTACGCGAACTCTACACATTGAATAAAAGCTACTTTGACCGAAGCTTGTTGTCTTGCAATATGTGCTTGACGTGCTGAAACTGTGGCCAGAAGTTTTCAGTCACAAATCCCTCGTGCTCTCTGAAACAAAGATTTACCCACGGTAGCTAACTGTGATTGATGACGGTGAGATTCACCATTAAAATATAAGTGGGTCTTGTTCTACACACAGTGTGACCAATAGTGTTATCAGTATTTCGGATGACTTAAACATCTAGGAAAGCTAAAGAAATATTTGCCTCTAACTCCATTGTGAATTGTTAATTAAACGCGATAAAATCCGTATAAATAGTTTTATTTAACTCACATATTAATTTAATATCGGAATATTGATCTGAATTCAAATTTTAGTAAAATTATAATTAGTTGAAAGCCTAAACGTAATCTTTGAATGACTTTCTTAAAGCTACATTTAGCAGCACAAGTCTGATATTGAATATATCAATTTATGATTGCATCAGAATTTTTAATAAAATGATGATTATTTAGTATATGTCAACCTACACGTAATTTTAGTATAGGTTACTTTTTTCACAGAATACCTAGGGCTGACAAACAAGCATACAGCCCACCGGATGGTGATTGGATACAATTACCTGGACCCGTAGACATCTTATATCTAGCATCGATTAGGAATCAAAATGCAGATACGTTGTCACCTCTGAGGACTAAGTTGGAATCCCTAGTTCTTTACACTCACCATATGAAACACTAACTCAAATACGGAGTTTCAGTTTCACGCTGGTATTCTGTGAGGTTGTGGTCCTATCCTGGACTTGGCACACTTTCGTGCTGTAGCTATGTATAGCTAGGATAGCTGCAGCGCTACGTTAAAAAAGTTGAGAACAACTTGTTATTGTGTTTTTCTATATATACTCAATATTGAAGTCGTTAAGTTTAAGACTTACATACAATCAATGTTTTTACATTTTATAATTCCATTTGTCAATGAACACAGCTTTGTATCAAGCTCAAATGAATGCTTATTTTATGAAACTACAAATATAAACTTTATGGTAGAGGGTGCAGCAACTGACGTAACCCAAGTGCGACATTTAAGAATAAAGTCCGCTGTGTATAGCGATACACAGGCAGGCCTACTTCAATATAAACGTAATATGAAAGATTCGTTTCAACTAATAAATGGAAAGGTAAAAAGGGTCCTCACCTCGCAGGAAAACAGGTCAGAACGGTGCGGTGGAGGGATCGCTTCGTTATTTTTAGTACTTAGGATAGGGTTAGACTAAATTTAGGGACACCGTTTTTAGATATATAATTGATATAGTATTTATTATCTAAATGTGACCTTTTTTTATATCGTAATTTTGACATGCGGACTAACTATGCTTGTACTTTTTATTTTATGAATTTATTAGCTGTGCCCGCGACTTCGTTCGCATAGAATAATTTATAGTAATTTTTTTTAATGAACTTTTCTATTTTAATCGGATATTGTTCACAATTTGATATTTTTTAATTTTTTTGCGCCGTACTGTAATTCTTTTTTTTTTTTAATAAAAGTCTAAAAAAAAGTCAAAATTGTTTAGCCGTTTCAAAGTTTAGCCGGAACAAACATATAGAGTGACAAAAATTTCAAAAATGTATTTTTTTTATAAGTACATATTATACTTACGTACATACTTTCACATGCATTTAGTAAAAATCTGTTATTCTGACATGACAATACATATTTAGAATTTATTTGTATTGTATAGATTACTATCACATGAATTAACGAGTCGTGGTAGTTCACGGTTCACAGCCCGCCTTCGGTTCCCGCCGGCAAGAGTGAGGCTGTTAATTGCAATTTAAAGTGCAGGGTTACCAAGCTCTGCAGTGAAGAAAAACATCGTAAGGAAACCTCCACGTACAAGAGGAAAATATTTCGGGGACATGTGAAATCCGCTAACACGTATTGGAGCCGGGCTGGGAGCTAACTGCTGCATAATCCTCAAGAGGTCTGTGCCGAGCAGTGGGGTGTAGAAAGCTTGTAACTTTTCTTTATATGAATACCAACCAAAATACTCAAAAGAAATAAAATCTATTGAGTACAGTTTCTCTTATTATTCAGAATTAAAAAATTAGGAACTAACCTCCTCCTCTATGGTTTCGGTCATGTTATCCATAAAATACTCTAGTACCAAGTAATTGTCGTAAGAGGCAATTATGGCAGTGGTTAGAAGACTTCCCAGACTTAATAAAAAAGGGGTTTCTAATAGTGGGCAGTATGACATATCGTACGTGGTATACGTGGAGCAGGTGCAAAGCATCTGGTACTGCGTCTTTCTCTGAGCCTATTCATGCGATCCTCAAACCTGTAACATTGTTTAATGAGAAAGCTAAATACTTAGAGTATTACCTGTTTAAACAGTCT